TTCGACCTATGATGCCATTGATACTCTTCAATTGTATATATTGAAAATTTATATAAGTTAAAAAAACAATTATATTATATTTGCTATTAAGTTAATATTGTATAAAATTTGGCGAGTATAAATCTCTATGAGAAAGAAAACGATGACATTAATAAAATATAATTATCAATCATGTATTTATGTGATAGTTTTTATGAGGTTACTAACATAAAATTTACTCATTTCTTATTTAACTATATAGTTTTTTAGTTTTTTTTATTTTCTATCACATAATAATAAATATTCATGATGGGTTAAAATAAATTTGGGGGAATCACAAAAATACCACAAATGGGCCAACAGTTTGCAAAACTGTCACACGCGCTGGGTCCTTTACAAAAATGCCACGATTTTATCCGAGAAGGAAAAATTTACCCCTGAAACAAAAGAACGCTCTCAATATTCTCTCTCCCAAAATTTAATCGCCATGGGTACTTTTCATCTCTTTAGAAAGGAAATCGAAGCTTTTTAGATGTAAGTGGAGAGGAAATCGAAGCTTATTACAGGTCATTCGAGAAAAAATCGAAGCTTATTAGAGGTAATTTTCATCTCTATTTTTCGATTTCTCAATCTAGATCTAGATCTAGTTTTTGATTCGCGATTTCCCGATTTCGCAATTTCGTCGATTTGCGTAACAGATTTTACTAGTTTATTTGATTTTGTCAATGGTTTTTCGATTCGCGACTATCCGATATTGTCGATATGAGTTTCAAACTCGTCGTCGCACTTGGTTTGAATATGTCAATCTCGGTAGTTTTTCCTTATTGACGTGAATCTGGRTAAATTTATGGGTTTTAAACAGTTTTTAAAACGATAATATATGAGATGGAAATTGATGGTTTAAATCTGTAAAACTAGGTAAAGTTTTGTTCTTGAAGTGATTACGGATAAAATTCAAACAATTTACAGATTTTATAAAGGTTTTTAACAGTTTACAAATCGATAATTGACATGTGTTTTCAACAACGTTTCAGCTGAATCAGACAAATGATGAAATATTTGACAGCATAAACATGCCAAAACAGATTTACAAACCTGGTTTTGAACCTGACGATAATAAAACGGTGCAACAACATCCTGAAATTGGTTGATACTGTCCGAGCAATACTAGGACTTGAGTTGTTCAGTAGGATTGAAAACAGTTTTCTTGGTCCTATTGTACAACTTGCAC